ATATGTAACTTGGGGGAGAAAAAACCGCAAAAAATGAAACCTTGAAGGCCAAGGTTTCATTATCTATAAATGGAGGAAACATTATTTGTTCACACACACATACTTACGTTTTTACCACAATAATATCAAAAATCACTCATAACTGACTTGATCGTCGGAGCTTTCCCGCCGGGATCTCCCCCTGGCGTTGCAGGTATCTTCACCGGAGGCCAAATTACGTGTGTTGAAAAAGAAGGAAGCCCCACGGACCAAATCATCCAAAAAAGCTGAATGCATTAAAAAAAATTAAAAGGGACCGTAATTAATATAATGTATGATATTTTCGAGTTCTTATTATTATGGAGATTTACCTAAGCTTTTGAAGGATTTCAAAAATATATTTCATTTATCACGGAATATGGTTGCACTAGTCGAAATTTTAGAGTCTGTCGCTTGGATTAGATATTTGGACTGCGGTTTTGTATTACAACCTCATATCTTTCTTAAGAGTTGTGGCTGCTCTGTGTTGAGTATTTCTGTCAACAACTCACTTCAATTATTGCTTATTAATTTCTTCTTAACCTGACCACTAATACACGAACTACTCGTACTTTAAGTGGATTCGTTCATTTGTCATGTGCATGTATTCTTCGTCTTTACTCTGCATTCGGTAGGTTGTGTGATTCGTTGTTATAGTTTCACAAATGAAGATATCAAAGGAGAAGAAATAAATAATAATTGTATATGTTGCACAGATGAACAATACAAGCTACAATCAAGGACATGCTCGGATATACCGAAAATGATGGTTGTTTGGCTAATGTAGCACCATCATTCTCGCCCCGCTTTTACATAGCCAAATAAATAATAATACCAAAATAAAAAAAAGGGAGTAAAGAAAACAAGTACTAAACCCCGAATGCGGGTAAACGTACGATACAACACGTAGATACGACCACAAAAATATTAATTGCCCGTCTAGCAGGACATTAAAAATTTGCTGCAAATATTAGTATTGATGCTATTAATTGCATTTGGGAAGGTCAGCTGGAGGAGGCTCTAATGTTTGTAGCTTTCCGACACCATTTTCGACTAGAAAAGCCATTGCCAAACCCCATGTTATGTGTACATCCAGGTGGCAGTGCATCAGCCACACCCCTGTTTATAATTATGTCCAAACTCATGCATTTAATTAATTTGAGTATAAAATATTATGCATTCATTCGAATTTATATAAATTTGTTATCTTGTACTACTAACCTGGATTGTCGGCGACAAATCTGATAACCGACCATCCTCCAACAGGTACACTAGCCGTATTCCGAAGAGGTGGATCCACTAGATTAAATTTGGCTGTATCTCTCTTTGCGTTGAAGTTTCCGAAACCCTCGGCAATTATGTAAAAGTCGTAACCGTGAAGGTGAATTGGGTGATTCTCAGCCGTGAATATACTCGTCCCCTGCAAAACCAACTGTACTGTTTCCCCGTATTTCAATCTATATACCTTGGTACCCTGAGCAGGTTGCCAGAGCGAGCGGCTTACGTTTCCAGTGTAATCAAATCGTAGCGGCGGATTTGCCGGAAAATCTGTGGTGAAAACACCAGGTACGCCCTGCTGATGTGCTTGCAGCAGCGAAAAATTTGACGGGAGCACAAACGAGACATTGTTCATGCTGGCAGCAAATCGAGTTCCATTCGGAGCCTGACAGTTTCTCGACCTGGCCCCACGTGGGCAATTGTTAAGTCCTAAACCGACGGTGAAGAAGAGATTGTGATCGATTTTAGTGGGGACGGGCGCTTTTCTCGGGCTTCTAAAGCTGGTGGTGAAAGCAGTGACAGTGGCTGTGTCGTTGAAAGCAGGCATTTTCGGTATAACGGGTTTGGATGAGACACATTTGGATGTAGTAGTACTGCAAGCGGCGGATTTGTATTGAAGGATAGCTGTGGTGGTTGTGTTATCGAAGGGTGCACCTTGTGCGCTTGCATACGCTCGTGCCGCTATGTAGTATCTTGCCGGTGGCTGATTGGCTGTGATTAGTACATCTGTTGTCTGGCCTGGACCAAGCATCAGAACAGAGGTTGTGAATGGTTTCACGTAAGAGGCATCGGCTCCCACTATTGTGAGCTTGTGATTCGCCACTTTGAAGAATAGTTCTTGATTCAGTGCCGAATTCACTACTCTTAGCAGATTCGTCTCTCCAGCTGCTATCGGCACTACTATTGTATCTGCATCCACCGTGGCATACCGTACGTACGTGTTTAATTAATTAATTGCAAAAGAGAAGCAAAGTGATTAGCAATGAATTAATTATTAATTACCTTTGGCAGAGCAATTGTATAGATCGCCAGGTTGACCGTTGATGGTGTAAGCATCGGAAATATTAGGGGCGGCTCCTGTTCGAGTAGCTTGTCTCACAACATCGATGGGGTTCGCGTCCCACCATTCACCTGTTCCATCACCATCAATTAATTATATCTTAAACTCACAATTAAGCAAATTATACATAGTAATAAATAAAAAATAATTACCAAGAAGAAGGGGAGTTTCGCGGTGGGGCTTGGGGAAGGGATATTCGTCTCCTTGCCTGGGGCGAATGATAAGAGCACCGTAGACGGTGGCTCTGAGCCAAGAGCTATGGGCGTGCCACCAAAGAGTGCCTTCTTGTCTGTCGATTGTGAACCGGTAAGTGTAACTCCCTCCCGGTCTGATTGGGCATTGCGTCACAAATGCCGGTCCGTCTGCCCACGCGGTTCTCATTTGCCTCACTCCATGCCTATTAATTCGTCGAATTGAATTACTAGCTAGCTTGTAGATAATTAAAGAAAAATGTTGCATGCGCATGCATGCATATGTATATAATCAATCATATGCACTTATTGTGCAATTACCAGTGAATAGTAACATTGTAACGAGCTCGATTAACGACTTTGACCACGAGGGTGTCGCCATTGTTGACTTCCAAAGTTGGTCCGGGATACATCCCATTCACGGTAATTGTGTTATGGGTTTTGCACAGCCTCTTCACTGGTGTTGCTTGCACCTGCATGCAGCCAATTCAAAACCAATCTTTAAAGCATCAGAAAAAATAAAATAAAATAAAATAATTAAGGAAACATGCATATAAGCAACAATAGTAGATAGTATGAATATATATATATATATATATAAAACTTACAACAAAATCATGGTGGTGAACTTTTGCATTAGTTATCGGCATTGAGCTCATAAAAACGAGCAAGAGGGCCGAGAATAAGAAGAAAGATGTAAACAGTTTGTTGTAATTACTTCTAAAGGACTCCATTTTCAGTAAGAAGTCGAAAATGAATTGATGATTTGATGAGTGAATAAAGAGAGAAATCTCCTTTTTATAATAAAGAGAGAGAGAGAGAGAGAGAGAGAGAGAGAGAGAGAGAGAGAGAGAGAGAGAGAGAGAGAGAGAGAGAGAGAGAGAGAGAGAGAGAGAGAGAGAGAGAGAGAGAGAGAGAGAGAGAGAGAGAGAGAGAGAAGGTAGTTAAATTCTGAGGTTGGCGGATTAGGTTTTGATAGTAAGATTAGTGGACAAAAACTTAGTTCAACCTCTACAGAGGGGGGAGAAGTAGTTGCACCCACTGTGCCTCATCAAACTCAATTAATTTTGCTTTCTTCACAAGTCTTTTTCATTATAGCTTAAATAGGTTTTCAAGGGTGACTTTATTATTGTTTTAGTTCGATACTCTATATTACTTCACATTTCAATTTGGACTAAATTTCTTTTTTTTTTTTTTTTTTTTTTTTTCTAATTACATTAGATGACGTGTTAATGCATAAGTGGATGGTAAAAGTCTAAGTTTGTTTGATTAGGTAACATTTTTTTAATATTATAACAATGTCTAGATTTCATTTTGGTCGTATGTAACCGCAAATTAGTTAACGACGACGACTTACTTGAATTAATTATTTTCTAATCAACTAGTTCTAACGAGCAAACAAGACAATTCTGTCTACATTATTACACTAAAGACTCGTTACGTTACATTTATCGGATTAATTTTTAGGGAAAATTAGTAAGCACCTCTAAATTTAGAAAAGTCATGATAGATCTCTTCAATAAATTATTTGAGAAATCCCCTTTTACTTTAAAACAATGCTCCTTATAAATTTACTGGTACTACACCCGTGCGATGCACGAGTTATTCATCGTAAAACAAATATTGAATAATAAAAAGGGTAAATAGCACTTAGCCCCCCTGTGGTTTTCACTTTGTGCACTTTACCCCCCTCTGATATCAATTTGGTCATTTTACCCCCCTGTGGTTGACAGGTTGTAGCGACCGTCTAATAAACCGTTAAAGTTAACAGAAAAATGTTAAATGTCTGGACTACCCCATATTTTTCTACTATTTGCAGGTTATACTTTTTTTTAATAAATAAATGTAAATTCAATTGGATTTAATTAGAAATAACATCAATTCATAGGACTAAAAAGCAATTATCAGAATTACTTCTTCTCCTTGCCTTCAAATCCTCCTGAAATGTTCCAGACCCTTCCAAAAAAAAACAAAATATCCGTCTGAGACACACAGGAAGACGAATGGACATCCTCGGAGAACAACAACAATGGTGGCTATCATTCCACCGTTCTGGCTCTTCTACCGTCGTCTCTTCGCCCATCCCCCTCCTGCTATCTCCACCGCCGACCTTGATTTAAGCTACTCGACCACAAGAACAGTGACATGGGCGGATCTGTTAAATCTTGTGGCAAATCTAGGGTTCCCTAGAGATTTCTCAAGAGTATGGAAACGGAATGCATAGAATATGCTAAAGTTTAGCACATACTAGATTTATTTTGCTTTTTTTTTTTCCTTAAATCTTTGTATTTATCCTCTTAGCTTGTAAAAATCTCTTTTTACCATGTGTATTGGTTCCTTTTAATAGTCAATTTGTTGTAGAAATTTAAGATTTTTTCTTGATTTCTATTGGTTTTCTTCAAATTAGTATTATTCTTACTATAATACATTTATAATCTATAAATTAATGAATTCAGGAGACTTTTTGTTTCTTGAATATTTGCTTTTGCAGTCGAGTTTTGTGCGCCCATTCATCTTCCCTTTTTGTAAGCAAAATGAGAAAATAAAAGCAAATTTTTAGGGCAAATCAAAGTTGTTTCTTTTTTAGGATGAAAATATAAAATTTGTTTTTTTAAGCAAAAACATGAGGAAATCAAATTATCTTTCAGTAGTAGTATATTATTTTCAGAATAAACAAAAATATTTCATATTCCCTTCTAATGTTGCAAATTATAATATATATATATACACGTTTAAATTTTTTGTTTAAATGTACAGGCTAAAAGTACAACTAACTTAACAAAGATTTATTGAAATATATAAAATAATTATAAAAAGATTTAGATGAGTATCTTAAAAATAATTAACATAACATCTTAAAATTAATTAATATACAATTTAAAGACGAATCTGTAATGGTTTTCTAATTAAAAGAAAAGTAAGGATGGGTCTATGAGTTTTTATTATAGGAAAATGGGTCAAATAGGTATTAATATAATATTTTCACTTGAAAACCTTCAACCACTACAAATTTGGGCGAGTGAAGTGCACTTTCCGCTAACTTTAACGGTTTATTGAACGGTCGCTACAACTTGTCAACCACAAGGGGGTAAAATGACCAAATTGATATCATAGGGGGGTAAAGTGCACAAAGTGAAAACCACAGGGGGGCTAAGTGCTATTTACCCTAATAAAAAAAGTTCTCGAAATATTAAGATTAAGTGTTGATATGTAATATATACAAGGAAATATTAACTTGTATTGTGTAAGTGATGAAATAAGCCGGAATAAATGAAAAAACTAAACATCGAAGGTTTCAATTTCCACACACAAAGAGCAAATATATCGCTGGTCCCAAATTTTAACAACAACAATGACACATGAACGTTCAAATCTTGAATTTGATCCAAACAATCAGTGTTGTTTTATTTGATACCAACCGCCCTAAACAAACGCATGCAACAAATCCAATACAATGCAACTGACCTGCATACGTTGTACAATGGTCATACGAAATATGTAAATTGTTACCAAAACAATACCAATATAACTGTTTAATGGCATAAAATCATTGTAAAAATAACCTTCATCAAATATAGCGAGCGGAGTCTATAGCAAGTTCATAGTACAATTAACATAAACCTACAAATGAGGAATAATAAAACATATAAATAATAGATAATAAAGGTCGTCATTGAATATTGTAATTTTTTGTACATAGAATTACCTTCATATATGCTAAAAACTTCCTTGTATACAACATTAATTGTAACGTTGGTTGTATCGCCAGATTCCGAGTTAATCAAAATCTTTATGCCACTTCGACTCTTAACTCTCCAGAGTGCGACATAGAGCTATACGTGACTGAAAACAGGTCTTGGCAAGTACAATGCCTACATGAGAAAGAGTTTTCCTTGACTTTTATTGATTCTCATTGCGAATGATACCATCAGCGGAAACTGACGCCGCTGGAATTTAATAGGCAATGCAGAGTTGGACGGAACCAAAGTCATTCTAGGAATGAACACCATATCATCAACATGTTTACCGGAGAGGATATGATCCTGCAGTTGAGAACGTGTTTTCCCATATTAATAACCCGAAGCCTTGTTCCATTGCACATCCTATGGTCTGATCAATATTTCTGATGAGCATAAATGGAACACCTCTTTTCAATGTCAACTTATGCGGTGGAATTCCGGAGCATGATATGGTGTTGAGAAACTCCGGGGAGTATATTTCTGCGTTAACATCCGATAATAAATCCTCCTTGCACATATTATCGGAGCTGAAATAGACCTTCTCCTCTCTAGTTATGATCGACAAAAAATGATCGTTCACAAAACCGACACTTTTATTATTGGGTGCAAGAATTGCTCTGCCCTCGAAATACTCGGGAGTGAACAGGTTGGTCATCAGATCGGGATAGACAAACTCGATAAAATCCAAAAAGAGATCTGCAGAATTACGAATCAGTATGTCATCGGGAATTTCAATTGTGGCATCACTGTCATTTGCCTCGCCAACATCGCCATTGCCGATTCTCAATATCCAGTCCCAAAATTCTCTTATTTTATCTGCATTGGCGGAAGAGGAGGACGACTCAAGTCTGATATTCTTGTTCAACTTCATAACCTTACATCGTCTCTACAACAGTGATGAATTGATTGTAGCATGAACAATGTCTTGTCTCGACTCTTTCAACACAACTGGGAGAATTTGCCGAAAGTCCCCTCCAAGAACTACAACCTTGCCTCCAAATGGCATATCTGAATCAAGTATAGATTTCATTGTTTTGTCGAGTGCTTCGAAACAGTACACGTGCATCATCGGTGCCTCTTCCCATATGATTAGCTTTGCTTTAGACAACAATTCTGCCTGTGGACTCTATTGTTTGATGTTGCATGTGGAGCTCTCATGTACAATTATTGGCAGTCCAAATCGCGAATGAGCAGTTCTGCCACCGGGAAGTAGAAGCGAAGCAATGCCAGTACTGGAAGTAACATTTATAACGCCTTTTGAACGGATAGTAGCCGATAAAGTTTGCCATATGAAAGTCTTTCCCGTTCTTTCATTCCCATAAAGAAAAAACAGTCCACCTCTGTCATTTGTAACAACATCCATGATATCATCGAACACGTTTTTCTGCTCGTTAGTAATGGATGAAAGGTATTTCTTAAGATCTTCACGCATCACATCAACGTCATAGTCCAACTCGTCGAGAACCAATCTATTTACCAGGGTGTCCGTCATCGACCCAATTGGAATCGGCATTGAGGGAAAGTTACTCAAGCTTTAATGTATCTTTGAACAACCCTTATCTTATTTTTCATTTCTATATTTTCCTTTTCACGTCTCTCTTCTCTTTTCTCTGCTATTTCTTTTTCTCTTTCCAATTTCCCACCCAAATCTCTCCCAGTTCCCTGGTTTCTTCTCTGTCTCGATTCGGAGATGAAGAAAAGTCGTCGGTGTTAGAGTAGGTGACCAACAAGCCAACTTGTGGCTGTGGTCTTTCCATTTATTATTGTAATAAACAAACCTTTTTTGTATTAATGATAAAACACTTTGGCATTCTATATATTTGTCCATTTGTCACAAGCATAGATATAGTCCTTACAGTTATTACGAATACTAGTAATTGTTCGTTAGGATCATGAGATATTTACTTTAGTATTATAACTATTAAACGTGTTCCTAGTTGAAGGGTTACGCCACCAATGAGGATATCGGCCTTTCCCATTAAGAGACTAGCACTTAGTGTATGTGCACTGCATCTCATCAGTAAACAGTATTGTGATATCGGCATGCATAAGTGGGTGCTCGTAAGTTGACGAGTTCATTGAACTCCTCACCCTAGAAATCTCTAAGTGGTTCTCAATAATCGAGTAGAGATATCCATGGTATAGTTGTACAACATTAGTCCTTATGACCTAGACATCACCGTGACTTCACTAGAGGACCAGCTGTATCGTGACCTGTCCCTGAATTCCACCGAGGACCACCCCAAGGGCCAGTGTTCGTGCAGTCCGAAATCTAGTGGGAGATCTGTGCATTGTAGTCGGGGATTCGATCGTTAGAATAGTCTTGGATGTCCTGTGTGTTCTCATAGTTTGTAATCTCTAAGTCTCTGGCCAGAGCTGACTTAGTGATGATTAGAGAATTCAATTCTCTAAGTCATGCACGTACCGATTACAACACTTAGAACGATCGCACAGTAATTGAACTACTAAGGAGGTCTCGATGAACCAATGCCTCTAGTTCAATCGGGACATATGAATCGAAGGGATCGTACTGTACGCTAACTATATCAAAAGGTTCTTGCAGGCACTTAATTTGTATCTAGGGAATCATGATGCGTAGTTGGTAGACGCCAATCTTGATTCGTTGGGTGATTAAGGTGAAATGAGATTCATCTAAATCGTAACTCTAAGGGACGAGTTTTGACCACAAAGGGTTGTGGGCCCACGGCTAGCTTACACCTGAACCATCGAGGGTCACACTGCTCGTGCACATGAGATCTTTGAATAAATGGTCATAGATAAAAATGTTTTATCTTTGCATGATTGGAAGTCAATATGATTGGGTCCAACATTCGTAACTTGGAATTACGAATGAGAATAAGAAAAGGAAAAGAATAGGCGAACATCTTAGTGAACTTTCTAAATTGGGAAGTTTCCAAATTAAGAAATTGCACTGAATTAGGGTTTCCACTTTTAGAAAGTTGAAAATTGAGAATTGGCACTCGTATCGACGAGGAAATTATAATGATTCTGAAAATGTAATCGTTACAATTTTCCGATCATTGAATTGAGAGAGACGAGCGAGTGAAAGAACTAACGAACTTAAGCTGTTGGGCCCGGTCCAACTTAAGCCCGTTAGGGCTTTTATGCAAGACACTATAAATACTTGATTTATGGGTCTTGCACACATACTTGAACACAACCCTAATTACAAAACCCTAGCCGCCCCCTCTCTCTCTCTCGGCCGATCTCTCCTCACGGCCGCCGCCGCCGTCCACTCGCCGGAAATCGGCCTCTCTTGGCCGATTAATCGTGGTAGTTCTTTTCTTTGTTTATTCTTTCCGTTTATTCTAACTACTGCGTGTCTAGTGCCACGTTTTAGTAGATCGAAGTATACGAGGTGAAATCCGAGAGGAGGAAGATCGAAGAATCGAGGAGCAGCCCTACGCCGTTGCCGCCGCTCCCGGATTGCACGGATTGGTTTCTGTGGCAATCTAGCTTCGTTTCGTGCGCCTACCTCACGCATCAAGAGGTAAAGTTTCGAATCCATTGTTATTCGATTCGTTTTTATATAAATTGAATATGCATGTTCGTCTAGTAAGTATGTTGTATGATTTTATGTATATTATGTGATTACATGAAATTCATTATTTATTGCGAGCGTGATTATTTGATTTAATGCGAGCATGCTAGTTGATTTAATTTCGATTAAATAATCCGCATGTATGTTTGTTTTTAAATTTCGCTGGAAGCGCAAAGGTACGCAATTAATTGTTTAATATATGTCGGGCATGTGATTGTGTGACTTAAACTCGTTTAATTCGCATAAATTTTTTGTTTTCCGCTGCGTACACGTGCCTGATTCCCAACAGTGGTATCAGAGATCGTTGCGCAATTAATTGCGTTTATAATATGCTATTATTTTGATGCATGTTCGATTTATTAAAGTAGCGATTGTTGTATTATGTAATTGGGAGTTTTCGAAAGTTTAAAATATTTTTGAAATATTGTTTAGAATTTTTCCAGCTTTAAAATTGTTTAAAATTGGAAAATCGGATCTGAAATTTATTTTTGAAACGTCGGTTTTATTTAATTCGGATCGAGCCGGTCGAACCGGCCGGCTCGATGGTTGGGCACGATTCAATTGACCGATTCCACGTGGATTCGGGTCAGTCAAACCGGTTGTCGGTCCGACTGACCCGGCCCACTAAATTGGGTCAATTGGACCGGGCAGAACCGGACCGTTGCGGTCCGAACCGGTCAGACCGGTCGGGCCGAACCGGTTCATTGAAAATAATTTTATTTTTTTTAACTTAAAACAAATAGATTTTAATTTTCGGAAAATTATTTTCAGTTAATCCCAATTAGATAATCGAATCAACAATCATCTATTTTAGTAAATAGGTGTTAGATTAATTAATTAATCTAAATTGTTAAATTGATTTTAATTAATAGATCACATATATAATATTGATTACACTTCAACTTAATTAATAGTACCTCAACATTATTTGATTGATTTATGCTAGTTAAGGTCCTATAATTATTTTGAAAAACCCGATACTAGTTGATTGGTAGGTTAGACTTGACACACGACGATTTTGAATTCGCGAGATTAACTTAGGTCATTATCAAGTGCGAGGAAAATTAATTTAGGGTCATATAATGGATACGATTGATTGTGATCTACCTTTGGGCAAATATAATCGGGCTAGATTAACTACGGGTTATATTTGTCTATTGGACCTAAAGCCCATTAAAGAAAAATCGGTTTTCTCGTTTGTCTACTAGAGGGAAGTGGAACTCGATAAAATTAGTGGGAGAACAATTAAATAACATAAGTCCAAACATTTAATTGTAAAATGTATTCAATAAGAATCTCTAATAATCCTCTTCTCTAAACCTCTCAGATAATCATGTCTAAGAATCCCATAATGTCAATCCTCGACAATAAACTCAATGGCCTTAATTACCTAGATTGGTTGCGCGGTCTTAAACTTGTGCTAACCGTTGAGGGGCGTCTCTATGTCCTTAATGAGAGACTTCATGCCACTATACCCGACACTGCGACCGATGCTGAAAAGGAAACTTATGAAGCATGGAAGAAAGACGACACTCATGCTAGGTGTTATATGATAGCCGCCATGGAGCCAGTGCTTGCGAGGAAATATGAGTCTCGCAAACATGCTTTCGATATCAAGGCTCATCTCGATAGCATATATAGTGAGAATACTAGGGCATCGAGGTACGCTGCTACAAAGGAGTTGATCACGGCGAGACTGCGCGAAGAGACTTCTGTCCACGAGCACTGTCTCAAAATTATCACTCTCCTTGAAAAGCTAGTGAATCTCGATGTCACCCTCCCTGTTGAGCTCTCGTTGGATTTGATCATGTTGTCTCTTCCTAGTTCCTATGAATCGTTCATAGTGAACTTCAACATGAACAAACTAGATCCTCCCTTGGATGAGTTAATGAACATGTTGGTCAGTTTCGAGTCCACCATTAAGAAAGAGAAGTCTGTTCTCATTGCTGCTACTTCTGGAAAGAAGAGTTCTTCCCAAAAGAAGAGAAAGGAAAGAGTTTCCTACCCAAACAGCAAGTTCGAAGTGGGTGAAGGTAGTGGGGGCCCTTAAGGCGAAAATCAGCAAAACGTAAGGAGATAGATCAAAACCCCGCACAACTTTGGCACGCTAGATTAGGTCATGTCTCTTTAAGAAGGATGAACGATTTTGTTAGTGAAGGATTGTTCCCTTTAGAGGACGTGAAATCACTACAAACTTGTGAATCTTGCCTTAAAGGGAAAACGACCAAGTCACCCTACAAAGGAAAAATGGAACGAGCCGAAGGTCTTTTGGATTTGATCCATACAGACGTATGTGGTCCACTAAGTGTTAGTGCGAAGGGTGGATATAACTACTTCGCTACCTTTACCGACGATTATTCTAGGTATGGGTATGTGTACTTGATGAAGTACAAGTCCGAAACATTTGAAAAGTTCAAAGATTTTAGACATGAAGTAGAGAAGCAACTCGGCCGAAGTATTAAGAAGCTGCGATCCGATCGTGGTAGAGAATACTTGAGGTAGAGTTCATTAACTATCTAAAAGAGAATGGAATAAAATCTCAAAGGACTCCACCCGGAACTCCTCAACTTAATGGAGTTTCCGAGCGTCAGAATAGAATCTTGTTAGACATGGTTCGATCTATGATGGGGTTCACCAACTTACCGGCATACTTGTGGGGTCACGCACTTCGCACTGCCGCGTATTTGCTGAATAGAGTTAACACCAAAGCAGTTAAATCCACACCATACGAACTTTGGCATTCCCGGAAACCCAACTTCAAACATATTAGGATATGGGGTTGTCCCGCTTATGTGAAGCGATTAGTGGGAGATAAGTTGGATAGTAAATCCGACTTGTGCTATTTTGTGGGGTATCCCGAAGACTCAATGGGATACGAATTCTATTATGTCAAGGAAGCAAATACGTTTGTTTCGAGAAACGCCACCTTT